ACCTCGACTCCATTGAGGACATCAAACTGCACTACTGGTTCTTTGAGTCCCAAAATAAGCCTGAAACAGATCCGGTAGTTCTCTGGCTCAACGGTGGACCCGGGTAAGTGGTTTTAATGAACTCCTTANTCGACTCCATTGAGGACATCAAACTGCACTACTGGTTCTTTGAGTCCCAAAATAAGCCTGAAACAGATCCGGTAGTTCTCTGGCTCAACGGTGGACCCGGGTAAGTGGTTTTAATGAACTCCTTAAAAACTTTACTAACCTTTTTTATATCTTCTTTTTTAGTTGTTCTTCCCTTTTTGGCGCCTTCACCGAGAACGGCCCCCTTCGGGCGAATCACAACGGCACCTTCACTCTGAATCCCTACTCCTGGAACCGCAACGCCAGCCTCCTCTACCTCGAATCACCCGTCCTGGTCGGCTTTTCCTTTCTAAACCGCACCGGAGTTAAGCCTTCAGTTAACACTGACGATCGAACAATGGTGCAAAACTTTGCCGCCCTGCAGTCCTTCTTCAACGCCAAATTTCCCCACCTCGCCTCGAACCCCTTCTACATCACCGGCGAGTCATATGCTGGCCGCTACATTCCACAGCTGTCGGTGGAGATTATCAGAACGAATTTACCTTCAAATTTTAGGGGCGTCGCCATCGGAAACGGCTACCTCGATCCTGAGCTAATCTTCCAGACACAGCAATTTTACGCAGACACGCATGGCCTCAGTGCAACGGTGAACCCCTACAACATTCTCGCCGACTGTGAGGACTCCCTACCGGGGGAGGGCGCCTGCTCGGGAGTGCATTTCCTCTCCAAGTGGATGAACCGAGCCGATGTCCAGCGGGCGATTCACATCTACTCGCCCAATGGGTCGCTTCCGCTTCACTGGGAGTACATTACCAACCCTGATTACATTATGGGCACCGGGTCAATGGCGAAGGAGGTGAGGGAGCTGGTGGACGCCCCTCAGAGGCTGAAAGTGATCATCTACAATGGCGATCTGGATACGGTTTGTGACTTTATCGCCGATCAAAAGTAGGCTCCACTTTTCAGTTTTGGGTTTACGTTTTTAATGATTTTTATTTTTTCCTAACAGATTTGTCGAGCAACTCGGCTATGTTGAGGACAGTCCGCCTCATCTGAAGCAGTGTTGGACTTTTGTGGCTGAGGATGATGGGAAGCGGAAGATTTTGCCTGTTGAAGGTAGAAATGTTTCAAGCAGCAGCTCTTGTGGCTGGAAAGTGAGTGGACCTGGTGCGCCTGGCGGTGTCCCCCTGGTCGGCGGCCTAGGGCGCACCTTTCACTCGGGTCGGCTCGTCTTCCTCACCGTCCGAGGCGCCGGACATATGGTTCCCTTTGATAAGCCTGCTGCTGCCCTTACGCTCCTCAATGAAATTCTGCTAAATAATTGAAAGGGTTTTTAGTGTTTTCAGTGTTGTAAAAAAGCGTGTTTTGTTTGTTGAAAAAGAATCTGAAATGTTTCTCCACATGTTTTAGTGAAGATGATCTAAACTTTTTCCCCGTTTGGTTGTATTATACTACCGATCTTCTATTACTTACGCTACTACTACCAAAGTTGATCACGTTTTTAATATCTCTTAGAAATGCTGAAGCTATTTGGCTAGTTGCATTTTTCCGATTTTTAGTGGCACTTAAAGTTGCACTCTGGTGATCTCAAAAAAAAGAGGATGAGGAGGATTAGAAAATGACGAGCGGTTGTAAAAACTCAATCGACATATTTTAAATGTTTTACTGTGTATCTTTGTATAAATACAGACACGCCGTTTTTCAGTTTTCATAGTCGGCCACAAACCACCGAAGCAAAATGGCTCGAGTTTTCTTTAGATTTTTCCTCTTAGTAGCCTGTTTAGGTTACTTCTCTACCTCAGCTTTCCCAAACCATGAGTCAAAAGACTTTCCTGGAGCAGCTGATGAGGTAGGCAAACTGCCGTTAGTAGACTTTCCCATTCCCTTTCGCCACTACTCCGGCTACCTCGACTCCATTGAGGACATTAAACTGCACTACTGGTTCTTTGAGTCGCAAAATAAGCCGGAAACCGATCCAGTGGTACTTTGGCTCAACGGCGGGCCCGGGTAAGTCATTTTTTAAATTCTTATATTTTTTCCTAAACTTTTTTTAAATTTCTTAGCTGTTCCTCCCTCTTTGGCGCCTTCACTGAAAACGGCCCTCTTCGAGCAAATCACAACGGCACCTTCACCCTAAATCCTTACTCCTGGAACCGAAACGCTAGCCTTCTCTACCTCGAATCTCCTGTTCTTGTCGGTTTTTCCTTCCTTAACCAAACCGGAGTTGAGCCTCCAGTTAACGATGACAATCGAACAGTGGCACAAAATTTCGCTGCTTTAAAATCCTTCTTCACCGTCAAATTTCCCCACCTCACCTCGAACGCCTTCTACGTCACCGGCGAGTCCTACGCCGGCCGCTACATTCCACAGCTGTCGGTGGAGATTCTCAAACGGAAGTTCCCTTCAAACTTTATGGGAGTGGCCATCGGAAACGGCTACCTCGACACCGATCTAATCGATCAAACTAGGCCGCTTTACTGGAAAACGCACGGCCTGGCCAACCCTCTGGTAAACCCTTACAACATTCTCGCCGACTGCAATGATTTCTTCAAGAATGAGGGCGCCTGCTCGGGAGTGAACTTTCTCTCCGCCTGGATGAACCGAGCCGACGTCCAACGGGCGATTCACATCTACTCGCCCAACGGGTCGCTTCCGCTTCACTGGGTCTTCCTCAACCGAATGCTTCCGTACGAATGGGGCACAGGGTCAATGGCGAAAGAGGTGAAGACGCTGATGGACGCCCCTCAGGGCTTGAAAGTGGTCATCTACAATGGCGACTTGGATACGTTGTGTGACTTTATCGCCGATCAAAGGTTTGAATTTTTAGTTTTGAATTTCAATTTTGGATAATTTTTTTATTCACAGATTTGTCGAACAACTCGGTTATGTTGAAGACAATCCTCCTCATCTAAAGCAGTGTTGGACTTTTGTGGCTGAAAATGATAGAAAAATTTTGCCCGTTGAAAGTGCAAGTCGAAATGTTTCAAAAAGCTACTGCGGCTGGAAAGTGAGTGGACCGGGGGCGCCTGGCGGTGTCACCTTGGTCGGCGGCCTAGGACGGACCTTTTACTCGGGTCGGCTCGTTTTCCTCACCGTCCGAGGTGCCGGACATATGGTCCCCTTTGATAAGCCTGCTGCTGCCTTCACCATCTTTAATGAGATTTTGTTGAATAATTGAATTTGTGATTTTATTGTTTTTAGTAAAAGAAAGTGTTTTGTTTGTTGCAAAAAAAGTTTGAAATGTTTTAGTGAAGATGAAATGTTTTTTAAGTTTTGCCCTACATTTTGTATTTTGTGTTTTTGGCAAAGTAGTGCAACAGGTGGTCGACAGCGGTTGCAGTTGCAACAGCAGCAGAAGCTGTTTGACTAACTTTCTTTTTGTTCGGCAGCTTCTG